ATCGGCGCGCTAGGGGCGGTGAGGGCTCATGCTCGGTCCGACCATGAACAAACAGGACGTACAGCTGGTGAACGAAGGGGATATAGACCATCTTGTGGCTCGTCTGGAGGCACACGGCCCAATCACAGCGAAGGTGAGTAGTCCTGAGCCGCAAGGCTTCACCTACGTCATAGGTTTAAATGGGCCGTGAAAGAACTCAGACTGCTTCACAGGATGCACGGCCATGTGTATTAAACATTTTCAACGACATCATATTCTGTGATGTTATCACAGTCCAAGGTACGGCTACGTGTTGTTTACAGAGCCGCGGCGCGACCAGTGAACGAGGCTTGACGAGTGATTCGAGTATTGATATAAAGTTCAAACTAAACCCCGGCTTAGCACACCGTCACGCTATTTGGAGACTAAGATGTGAATTGGATGGTGATTGTAGAAGGTAACGCATGCAATATTTACGCAAACGAGGTCTCCGTTACAGCGCCTGTGCTACGTCAAGAAAAGGGATGCGCATCAGCGTTGTAAGTAATCCATTCTGTGGTAAAGGAGACGACCAATGGGCCGTCTCGCTTTTGGGCTCTGATCTGGGTGGGGAGCTTCAGTCCCCAGCTTCCAAAACCATTGCCACGGCCCAAGCTCAAGCAACCACACCATCAACGACCTCTACAGGCTGGACAGCGCTGCCAACGCCGGAGACCGAGCTGTGACTTAACACGCGCTGGGGTGGGAGTCACGTTGACCCCCCGAAGATTTTTCCAGAATAGTTTCCGAACGGCGCGGGGCCGCCGCGCCAAATTTGGCCAAATCTTGAGGCACGGGACCATACCCCCATGAAACATGCCCAGGGAACCTAAAGGCTCCGAAGGAATCCATAACCGACCGAGCGGATGCAGTTTCTAACAACAAAAACACATCAAATTGGACGCCTTTGAGCCTAGACGACCAAGAACAATTGTTCGTGATAGTAAAGAATTCACAAGCAAACGAAGAATTCTTCACTGGTCAAGGAAGTCCCGCTTGGGGAATTTTGGGGCTCATTATGCTGTATAGAGGCATTACAGTGTTGATTGCCCTGGCCTTATATCGGATGCGTATTGAAAGGTGCAGAGTTCATACAGGCACTGGTCATAAGGCCCAGTGTCAATGAAGTCAGCGTGCGTGAGATCCACGGGTTGGGACACTGTCCCACTTCCTCGCAACCCTTCACATGATGATTCGGATACTGCCGGATACGGACTACCGGAGCCGATTTCGCCCGCCTCAGCCGACGAGTGACGTCAAGTGGTACAGTGCGGCCCAGAGAATGTTCCACATTTGTAGGACGTTTTGAACTGAAATAGCTATTTTGAGGACCTTTTGATGCAGTTTAAGGTCATGTCCTTTTTAAGACCCAAGCGATCTGGTTTCTGAGTTACACGCCCGCAAAAGTACGAAAAGGTATATTTGGAGCTTATGTCAAAGTTGCCTCGGCAGTAATGACGTCATAGAAACTTTATGCGACCGCGGTCATGTTACAGGCTGTTAGGCTGCTGATCTCATGGCAGCAAATTGAGAACCTACTCGCGCGTTGGAAAACGCAGCACGTGGCCCGCGGAGGATAGATACACCGCACGCCACGCCATCTCGCGGAAAAGTGTTTTGTAAGACATAAGGAGAGAAATAAGGATGATAATGAAAGCGAAGTGAAGCCAGAACGGGTGGGCCGAGAGGCAACCTGGAGAGGAACCCCGACCGGGTGCACGACGCATACCCGCAGAGCGGTCCCTTGCGCGGGTTAACTCTCGGCGTTTAGCCCCCCAGGCGCGTGTAGACTTGCCTCACCGTTGTCCATCTTCATCCCATAGCCTTTAAATGATCATTGATGGTCGAAAGGGCTTTAGTTTATATGACCGATAATCAACATCCGGTTTCATAAGAGAAGTTCCTACTTACTCCCTGCTAGTCGAAGTAATTTCGACGTACCTTCCTATTTCTTACGCCGCCGCGTGATTAACTTGGCATGGCTCCTTGGAAATTAATCGTAAAATACCGAAGTGAAGCAATTTCAATAGCGATACAAACGGTCGTTCCCATGGCAACCTTGCTATTGCTTTGGCCCCAAAAGGCTAACATGCTGATTAAAAATCCAGGAATATCTTAAAGGTGACTTAAAAAATCTGGTCATTTATGGATTAACTCGATGATGCATTCGTGATTTGTGTGACAATTACATCAAAGAATAATCACGATCACTTTTGTAATTCGCTGGAATGCAGAAAGTGTACAATTATTGGTATTGTTTCACTATACGAAGAAAAACAAAATGTACTCGTGTTTCGTACATCCATACCCTGAGCTTTCTTGTGCTACGTATAGAAACTATGCACAACAACGACAAAATCTTCTTAAAATAGCTGACTTTACGCCTACTCTATGTTGTGTGTCTTGTTAACACAAAATGTGTATTCATGTCACAGTAGTGAAAAAATGATCCAGTGAAATGCGCGTCATGTGGGAGAGAGATTGATTTTTATAACGGTCTGCCAGCTTTTTCGACCACAGTTCTTATGTTTGCGATGCCCAGAAATCTGTACGAACTACAGTTGCATTGAGTTTCTCATATATGCAAACTCAACCGCCCGTGATGTTGGCATCGCTTCATGTCTCAGCAATGTCTCACTGCAGGCTGATCCTCGGTCTAAATGGCCTAATCCTTCGCTCTTGCACGGCCATGCGCCGGCTCCTTTATGATTACCAATGATGATCTTAGGACAGACCAGAGCATATTTTTAATCTATTTCAGTTCCGGGGTGAATGTCTACTCCACGGTCAAGTCAGCTGCGCTTATGTAATCTGATGGATACCTGGTGAAGTATAGATTAACTCAGACTAGTTGAAATGCTCCGTAAATATCATACTTTTACGGGCGTTGACGTAAATAGTTGCTATTTACTTCCTGCAGCCAGATTAGAGGTAAAACCCCAGAAAGTCCCTACGCCTCAATTCAACGGCATTATCTGTTTATGAAACTAGTTGCAAGCAGCGTTAAAGTGATGCATAGATTGCACATCGATTAAGTGTAAATAGACGGTCATTATGTCGGCAAATGGTGCTCACGGGCGCCAGACATGAAAGACAATAATTGTTGTGCCAGTGAACCGCCACATGGCCAGTGAAATGGCAACACTTTGATTATGTTTTTCTGACGTCATGGATGCCTGGATATCCTTAAAATAGCCTTCCCGAAAAAGTCGCGCGTCTTCGCGAGTGCATAGCTCAGAAATTAGGCGAAAGACTAGAAGCTGGAAACTCCAGGTCTTAAGATGGGCAGCGCTCTGATCTGCACCGAATGATTCAAGAAAGCTATCTCAGTTTAAAGCCTCATACAAATGTGGAGTCCGCTGGGTCCGTGGCCGCCATCAGCGGCTCTGCTGTCCGGGGACGCGCCTGCGCTCTCTCAAGTGAGAGCCATTGCTCCCGATGGACAGCGCAGTGGCAGCCAGGCGCCCCGTCGCCGCCGAGCTCCCGCAGCGGGTAGATTCCTGGCCAGTTGGCGTCCCAACCGGCTTCAAGGGAAGCGGAGACTTCCCTTGTTCTGAGTGTTGTGTGACTCAATTATGGTTAAAAGGACGTCGTAACCAGAGGTTATGGGCCGAATCATCGTAACCAGAGGTCATGGGCTGAAAACATCGTAACCCAGAGGACATGGGCTGGCAGGACAAACACGTGGCTAGTGGATCAGCAGCTCGTGGACCGCAGTGTTGAATCCGGGAGTGCTCGCACTCTGGAACGCCGTCGAGCCGTGTTCCCTTCGTTACATGATCTCCTTGGCTGGGCTGGTCCACATAGGAGTGGATGTTCTCCTAAAGTGCTTTGCATTGCATACAACTTCAAAATTTGTATTTGTGTTTTGAGTCGCTACGCATTTCTTCTTCGCTTTCCGTCCGCCGCACGTTCTTGCGACGTGTGGTTCTCTGAACTTGTAACGTAGGTGAACCATGCATTTGAAAATCATCACAATGCTTGCATCTAGCTCGGGCCAAGCATGATATAAGTTCCCGGGCATGCCTCTGGTTCATCGCCTATAGACCATTTATTCCTGCTTAGTGTGGATGTTCCAGATAGTGCAGCACTGTTTGGAGCTTGCCTCGGTGGTGGCGGTCGTAACCTTGTCATCAGTCATTGGTCTGGTGCCGCCGGAAGCTGACGTCGACGTCCGGCTGGTCCGGTAGGACAGCGTGCGGCTACAGATCACTGATCTACCGATCCCAGTAGGATAGGACCCGTTCTGACTGATTTTTGGCCGACTCGCTGAAGTGCTCTGCCTTCAGTAGTCGAAATAGTCTGTAGGAGGCTTGTGTTCTGTCCTACAACACTAGACTGGCACCGCAGGTCTGACACAGGAGTACCAATGAGACGATAAACGACTGTCTGTCCCAGGCTGGCTTCTGCCGGACCGCTCTGTTTTTGTGACTATGACCGGTGCAGCCGTTGTCGCCAGACGGGCAGACCAGCTCCTGCAGCTCCACCAGTCGCGTAGCGACGTGTTCAAGAAGCAAATGTAGAGGGTACTTCCACTCGCGCGACAGTGATAGAGTGAGTTCTCTCTGTGCATCAATTTCTCGGGTAGCCCTTATGACATCGTTGCAAGAGGGGAAGATGTCCATGGAGTGTGCTTTGACAAACAAATGCTTGATATGCCAGGAAATTTGGAAACCTCCCATCGACGAAAAGTGCCGAGCTTCCTCTAGAATTTTTCTTACGTCGCGCTACCGATGCAGTGCACAGGACCGCTACCTTTGGTAGTCGCACTGGTGTTCCCGTTGTTTTATTCAGAGTAAGTGCGATGTGACATGAGTGCACACTTTATGCCCTCTGTTTCATAGCAGAGATGCGCTTTTCGGTGTGCCTTTTACGAGGTGCTGCCCGTTTCTTCACTCAGTTCCTTTGTCTCTAAAAACCA